GATTCGCTCATTCGTCACATCTTATGCACTATTTATTCCATGCCCTATTTTAGTTTGGTACACAAATCCTTACAGACTACACTGTAGCTGGCTGCTTTAAAAATCTTTGGGACTTTTTGCTGGTTAAAGCTTAATGATAGCGGCCACTGTTCAAAGCACATTGAATCATGAGAAGCCACTAGCTCTGACACACCCTGTTATCTCAAATTACAATGCTTTGTGTTGCAGGCGGGTTACGGGAAACCAGCAAACAAAATAAAATTTAGGGCAACAGAAGACAATGCGGGATCTTCCTCACATGTCCAGTTGGCCCAAGCTTCCACACCAAGATCTACTCCCCTTTCCCTCATACTGTTGAGTGACAGCTCTACTATTGTCTATATAGCTAGGCAGCTGTATACACACAGCAAAAATGTATCACTCCACTGTTTCCTGTACACAAAGGGAGGTCTTTGCTCTCTCTCTCTTGGCAAATATACCCCCCTAGCTACAACCAACACAGAGAAACTTTAGTCCGGTGGAGAGAAAAGAAAGTAACAAAAGAGACAAAAAAAAAAAAAAGTGGTACAGCGAGGAGCAAAAATGAACAAATTCTAGCAGATGAAGGTGTTTGTCATGAAATAAGCAAAGGAACCAAACTAAACAAGAACAGGAAGATGGTCAAGATACAAGGCGGTATCACTTTTTTTTTTTTGTTCACACGGGAGTCCGTTTCACTTCTCAGAATCAGTTGTGAGTTTCAAAACACAACCAGCTAATAATCAAGGATAAATTACAGAGACACAGACATATGTGATGAGGGGGAGGTTGAGAAAGAGACATTAACACTGGTTTGTGGCAATTCAGTGGGAAACAAAAGGGATGAAGGGCTGCTAGACATGTCCCGGTTTGGGAAAACAAGTTCCTGCTGCTCGCTGCTGACCACAGCAAAATTCCTGAGGGGAAGTTGAAAACAGCAGACATCTCTGATGTGTACACAGTTAGAGAGTAATTCTGCTCATATGACAGAGCCAGAAATGTATTTTGGATAGGAGTGCTCCAGATGTTTGCAGGCAGAATTCACTAAGGCTGGTTTTACAAGTCGAGTTTAAAAGGTAATCACCTACCCCCGCTGCTGCTTTACAGCTACTGTGTCATGACCCCATTTACGGATGGGTCAGCTCTGTTTGAATGAGCGGTGCTGGCTCTTCACAAACCACTTCCTCTGATTTTTCACCACTCCAACGAGGGCCTGAAGACTTCTTTATCAGTATGTTTGCAGAAAGTGACACTCCATCCTCTTGACTCTTGTACCCTGGTAAGGGTGACTGCTCCATGGCTGTGATGCGTAAAGACACCCACATGATTTCAGTGCTCTCACCACACTTTCAGCCAACACTTTGCAGCGCTCTGAACTCCACTCAACGCTGAGCTAAAGCCTTCAACCTGCCCTTGCCCCCATCGCAACATGGCATACATCTCTGATCCCACTGAGAAATTACAAGTGAGCTGCTCCCACGTCGTGCTTCCTGCTGCCTTCAGATCTCTCCCAAACAACAGCCACCCTTGTCTAATTTCAACCTTCAAGCCAGGGAGGAAATTAACAGACCACACACCAGTTTGTGCCACTCTGAACCTCAAGTGTGGCAAATATATTCACACGCACGAAGTTAAATGCAAGCATACACTTTAATAGAGATGGCAAGTAAACGGGGTGTCTGTGACAGGGATTAGCACACCACCAGCACAGCAAGACAAAACTGATCTTATTCTTTGCCCTTCATTTCCTCTTTAATCCCACTCTGTGAAAAGAGCAGGAAATAGAAGTGACCTCCCTCAGTTTAGGGATGTGCATATGTAATTAAATTCCTAGCCAGATCAGCTCAGCAGTGGTGACCCACTGGTCAGAGCCCAATCTGTAAGCTGTAGAAAACACGCTCAGCATGAAAGGAAACCTCTCTGACTCTGAACCACCACCCTTTTAAAGTATTTCTGTAGCTTCACGGCACTAGCACCTCTCATAAAAGTGATGCAAGCAAACAAATCAAATATCCACAAATGATTTAAAGCAGCAAAAGCAAGCAAATGTATTATAACCAATCAATAGCCCAAACAGTCACGCTACTGTTATTACAGGGCACAAAAAAACAAACTAAATTTAAACAAGAACATATGTGGCTTTAGGGGATTTGTTTGCTTTAAAATAACAATCCTTTAAACATCAAAAAGTAATCAAAAATCTGGTTGGCTTTCAATCCACACATTATGCAACCCAAAAGTACTGCTTTAGTGATGTATAATTACAAAAATAACAGATACAAAACAACTGTCCTTTAAAAAGCAACATAGCACATTTAAAACGGTGCCGAAACAGAAAAGAAACCAAGACAAAGACAGACTTATTGTTTTTGTTGGGTATATAGTTATGTTTACTTTTCAGCAGAGCCTTTCAGCACCTATATACGTAAAGAACTGTAAATAGTTAGACCGAGCCACAGCTGGCTAGCCTCTTCTTTAGCTCCTTCATCTGTTTCAGTGTTTTAGGAGCTGGGGAATAAGATGTGCTTAAAAAAGAAGTGTAACTGTCCTCCACAGCACTCACTTAATCACAGCCATGGCTCGTTGTTGGCTGTACCCGTCAACACATTTCTGTATTAACGGCCACATTTCCCGTAGTTTTGCCTCGCTTTGCTTTGTCCTCTAACGGCTTTACAGTGAAGTTATCCAGTCAGCTCAATGAGGAGGAGGAGGAGGAGGAGGAGGAAGAATGGGGGTTATAATTAATTATTTCGCGCTGTTATTACATTAAAAGGCAGCTCAATAAGGCTGACGGGAATCACCGAGACTCGGGACAGAGGCTGGCTGGCTTTAGCCGACGGTAAACGGCGAGAGACGAGGACAAAAAACAGTAAACAATACGGGAAGGGTCAACGTTGAGCACGTCTCATTGTTACAGCGTTTCAAACCGCTGAAGAGCAACAAACACACACGCACTCACACAACAGTAAGTCAGGGTCGGCTATTGTTACTCACCTGCGCGATACAACAAGGAGTACACATGACGAGGGGGCAGAATAAATAAAATCCGTTTCAGAGTGAGGACAGCTCGGGGATTTCTCAGCCGCTTTCCTTCAAAATCAGCGACACACGGGGAACCAAAGCGCTTCTGCTCCGTCCACCCAGCCTTCCTGTCCCCCGCTCCTCTTCTGGTCTCTCCTCCCACTGACTGACTGACTGACTGCACATCACCGCCAAACAACAAGGCTCAGCGCAGAGCTGCACCGGCTCTGCCACAGAGAGCATCGGAGAGATGACTAAATAGGTTACGGTATATCACATTTACTGTCATTAAAAAAAAAAAATCCTTATTGGCATTCTCAGATTACACGTTAGGCGTAACACAAAGCCACGTGCCACACAAGTTAGACCCCTGGCCTGAATGTTTAAAATATATGAAATAATATGGATTTTAAAATACTATCAGAAAGCTGTATTATAAGTAAAAAAAACAAAACAAAAACAAAACAAAAACAAAACTCCAAACAAACAACACAACAAAAACAAAGGGGTCGGTGCAGGATTAAAAAATAAAATTATAAAAATTGTCAACAGCTATATCCAGACACAGGATGACCTGGATCTGATCCCTCCATGGCTCATTAATCATCAGCGCGGAGCTGTTAAGTACAGGTGGTATTCTGCTTATATTCACAATTAATTATTTCAATTGGGAGGAAATGTCTATCATTTAAGTCACCTGTGTTTTTAAGTACAACAAAAGATGGCAATGAGTCTGACATGCACACAAAGCCCGATGAATCCCTGCATAAAATATATTTCAAATGATATATAACCTATCAGAAATAAGGACATTTTAACATCACATAATATAATTTAATAGCCTATTTATCCCAGAATACTGAAATTATTTTGCCTCAAACATATTACTTTTTAGTCAATAGATGGGTAAAATGAAAGGGCAGGTGACTTGCTGCCACACACTTATACTGTATAATGAACTTGCATTTTTCTATAAATCAAAAGCTGGACTTTATCTCGTCTTTATCATCCCACTGCAGTTGTTCACTTGGCTGTATCTTGCTGACTCATAAGTATGAGTAAGTTTCTCTTTATCCAAAAAACCCTGCTCGTGGTTTTTAACGGCATGTGTGCAACTGTGTGTTGAGCTCAGCAGTGCAGTAGGAGTCTGTTTGCTGGCCAATGAAGGGGCCTTGATAAGGCTGAGCTGATAAGGCTGCTACTGTAGCTGTCTGTGGCTTGTGTTGCCGTTTGCCAACACTGTCATATGACCAAATGACTCAACACACACACACACACACACACACACACACACACACACACACACACACACACACACACACACACACACACACTTACTTACTTTTTGTCAGTCACCACTGCCATTGAAAGTCACCCCCAAATTGTAGGACTTTTTAAATAGGCATGAATCACACGGGACTGCCAGTTTATGAACGCATCAAATCAACAGCCCTCTGAAAAGCAGAAAGCACGCATCTGCAATGGCCTGTGTAACAGAATCAGGCATATTTTAGATTGAATGTGAAGACATCTCAGCCTCCATCTTCACTCTAATCTGATTGTGTTTGACAGGAAACCAAAAAGGGCAGCAGAGCATCAGGCCTCTGACATGTCAGAGTGTATCGATCAATGTAACGTCAAAAAGAAAGGACAGGAAGCAGAAAATACAGATTTAGTATCACACTGCTGCATGACACTGAAGCAGTGTCACCGTGTGAGTCCTGGAGACAGTGCTTTTGCTTCAATCCACCTGCTGAGTGAACAAACCACAAGTGCACTTCAGCTCACAGGCAAAGTAAATGCTGTACACGTGAAGTCAGTCAGTACTGTGCGTGGACTGTTACTGTGTGAATTCATAAGTGTTAGGAAGACGTTGGTTTTCAGATTTGACCACACAGGCTATTAATAAAACCATCACTACCAACCTCAGCACATCTCTAATCCAAGCAGGAAACTTCAGCATGAGCATATGCAGCTTTTATTGCTGTGACATACAAAATAATAACAATACAAAAACATTCACATGAAATAAATCCTCACATGTTGGTTTGTTTTTCTTTTTCCACACACATAAATAGACGTTTTTCCCCACAGGCTCACAGAGTTTAGGCATCAGTGAAGGCGGACCAGAGCCAACACTACTGACAACAGCCCTCTGCTGTAGATCAATCGCTGGCCATCTGGACACAGCAGCATCCTGAATATTTTAGAGTTAACGATTCACATACGCTGGCTACAACTTCTAAAATGTCCTAAAGTCAACCACGAGTGAGAGAGCCTCCACTGGTTATAGACTTTTTTCCTTTTTCCAGTGGACAGTCCTGAGAAATGCAGGAAGCTGAGCCATGCAGTGGTGATCCTTGGATTTAACCCGGTCCATAGTCAGAAAATGAGCTTCTTCTTCATTGCAGCTGAAAATAACACAAAGGGTTTTGTTTTAAAAACATTATTTAAAAAAGAAGAAAAAGAAAAAAAAAACAACTTAAAAAACCTAAGTTAGATTAGACAGACACATATTTCTGTTCTGTGTATGTACGCCACATGCTCAAATCAAGCCTATAATGAGCAACGCGCTACCAAGAGGCACCAAGGTTTCTGTTATAAATGTTTCAAAAGTCAAAGCCAGATATTTTCCAAACCACAGAGGAGCTGGAAAAGCTTTGAACCTCCCAGTGACACTAAAGGGTTCCACTTTAGTAAAACATACCCTCCCACTAGCCACGAAACTGTGGGCGCGTGTTCGAATTCAGTATTTTCTGAATTTGTAACTGCAGCTAAATGTACAGCCCACACCCGCTGAATTGCTAGGTTAGGTTTCTAACTTTAGCGAGAAGCAGTCAAAAAACTCACAACATGCTATAAAAAAAAAAAAGAAGAAAAAAAATCAGGTCAGTGTTGGAAGTTCTAAAATATTCAGCCCCTTTAAAGTCCGCCTCAAACGAGTGTCGCAGACACCTCACGTTTTTGCTGCTCAAACCACAATATAAACAACATGACTGAGAAAATATTTAACCCAGAGTCAGGGTGGTCTTCTGTGGATTAAGGACACACACAGTGGATTTAGTGCAAATATGAGATCATATACGGTCATTACTTGTCTCCAGGCCTTCGATTTTTCTCTTGAGACCGACTGTCTCCTTCTCCCTCAAAGCCTCGGCTGAACAGTTTGGCCGGGGGAGCTGGGGACCAGGAGTGGGACCAGGCCGATTGCTGAAGTACCTCATCTTCAGAGCCTGCAGAATAAAGGAAAACACCATTTTATACATCTATGTCATCAAACATCAGAGTTGTGTCTCTAATTTGATGTATCAAAGATGCAAGAAGATGTTTTTTTTTCTTATTACTGAGATGTGTAATAGAGAAAGTGGAAGATGTGTCGTTAATGCAGTTGTTGAACAATGAGATAGTTCAGGTTTTCTCTCTAATATTATGAGTTATTTAGTGCCTTGCGGTGACTGTTGTGAATTGGTGCTATGTAAATAAAACTGAAGTTGCTCAAACAGAAGGCAAACATTAATTCCTGTGTTGGGAGTAACGGAATACATGTACCGCCGTTACGTATTTAAAATACAAAATATGAGTAACTGTATTCGTTACAGTTACCGTTTAAAAAGGTAGTATTTAGAATACAGTTACTTTGTTGAAATAAATGGCGGTCTTTTCCTGTTTCATATGTTAGCCTATGCTCTCTATTTTTGGTAATTCCACGCCGGTGGAAACCCAAAGAAAACACGCATTAAGAGGCTCCAATGCCTGTGTCTCAATCTCGTGGCCCATGTCACCTCTACTTGTGGCCCGCATAACGAGGTGAAGAAATATTTTTAAAAATTATTCACAAAAATGATTTAATATGAAGGCAATAGGCAGAGTGTTATAGTCATCGCCCTAAAGAATGTAGCCTCATGGGCAGTGTAGTCCGTGCTGCAGGGAGAATACCTGTTATGTGTCTGTGAGCGCGAGGAGGGAGAAAAAGAGTCGAAAAGTACGAGTTGTCACCGACCAGAAACCGGAGATTGAAGCATGCAAATATAATAATAACCACTGCAGCCAAAAAGAGTGCCTGACGAGCCCAGTTGTGAGCTATTAAGACTCGACTGTACACTGTGTTCGTGTTTTCCTCCGAAACAATAAGTTCCGTTGGAGCAGCCTTTCAACGCCTTTCTCTGTCTCTCGCTAGAAACGTTGACTCAGACAACAAAGTAAAGCTAGTTTTCGGCTACGAGTCCGACATGGAACCCGACATATTAGCCAGAGGTCCCTTCACAGTTTTATGTCTTTATGGTTCGGAGCCGCGGACCTGTTTTATATACGTGCGGAATAGTTTTCTATACGAGATCGCTGCTAAAAGTGCAGCCTTACCTACTGTCCACCCTACTGTTACTCATTTTATATTAAGATTTAAAAATCTAGCTGGTATTGGTATGGCGAGTAGCCTTCAGTAATAGTAATAAATCACACAGCAATAGTACAGTCATGTAGTTGTAAAAAGCATGATAATATATTAAGTAATCCAAAGTATTCAGAATACGTTACTGTCATTGAGTAACGTAATGGAATATGTTACAAAATACATTTTGGGGCATGTATTCTGTAATCTGTAGTGGAATACATTTTAAAAGTAACCTTCCCAACACTGCTTGTGTCAGACTGACCGAGTTTTTATGTCAGGGATTGTCACAGGTGAGGAAAACAGGCTCTGTGCCTAGGACTGGAGAAGAAACCAGTTTTCACTGGGAGAGCACCAGCTATGCAGAGTGCATTGACTCGCCTGGATCAGACAATAGCGAGTTTTACTAATATACTGAGACTTCTGAGAAAGAACAAACAACCTACTGCTTACATCTACTACTAAGAAGTTCTTCACACTACACATTTCACTAACACAATCGCTGCTCACCAACACTCCTTCTTTCCAGAGTTAAATCCCTGTGATGTTCTTGTTTCAAAATAATACTCAAATTTTAAAAGGTTATAATTTGGACAGAAGAAACTTCGAAGGGCGAATTCCAACCAGTGGGAGCACTGGGACTCAGAGGTGCACAAAACCTGCGGAAGCGGCATTGAAGAGGATAACAGCTACTTAACTCGGGTACAGTTAATGTTCACAACTCGTCAACCCAAACATCCCAAAAAACATGTGCATTTAAAAATAAGCAAAGAATAAGCATTTATATTTATTTATTTTTCCTAGCACAAAGCTGTGTGGCAACCACATCGTGACTTGTACAAAGATGAAATGTCTACTTTTTGTTTTGCACGTCGTGTAAAGTCAAGTCTTACAAGTCTATTAGTGGTTTATCTTTGCATTACACTCTTAAAGTAAAGGACACTCTTCACCGGCTGATCACAATGAGAGTTGTACTGCCTGAAGCGAGGCCTGTAATTCTGAGGGAGCTACAAATGAAGTGGCAGGGTTTCAGCGCTGAAGCCGATCTAGCAATCATCAAATAGACTGCAGTGTAAAAATGTTAATATTCTTATTTTAAAACTTATCTAACAATAATTTCAAATGATTTGTTCAATAATATAAAACTGAGAATAGCTACAGTGCTTTAGCTCATTACCTGTGTAGCTGTGGTCCTCGCTGAAGGGTTAAAGGTAAAGAGACCTTGTAGCAGCTCAAGTAAATCGTCTCCAGCTGCACTAAATATATGTTCCAGCGGTGTGCCGGGGAATATTTTGAAGGACACGTAGTCTGGTAGACTACTCAAGCCCTAAAGAGAGATATAACAATAGAATGTAAGCAAGAATCCCCACATCTCATCAAAATTGGGCCAAACTGTAGAAAAAAAAATAAAACAACAACAACAACAACAACACCCCCCAAACAAACTCACAGGCCATGTTTCTTCCGTGGGTGTTCCCAGAGCCTCAAAGATCTTAGTAAGCTGGTCGAGATCAGAGTCTCCAGCAAGGAACGGAACCTACAGCAAACGGGAGTGTAGAGAGACATTAGCATGAATATGAAAATAGCTGCGTCCCCTGAGACTGCTCAGGGGACGCAGCCTGCTCATATCTTTGAAGTGAGGTTTATTTACCCGAAGCAGCAACTCTGCCAAAATGCATCCCACTGCCCACATGTCAACACCCACACCGTACATCCTGGCACCAAACAGGAGCTCAGGTGATCGGTACCACCTGGGAAAGACATGAATGAACAATAAATAGAGACATATTTTACAGACCTTGCAACCTGGACTTCTTAGTAGAATTCTGTCACATTTAACCAGTCCTAGTTTGGTTAAATGTTTGATTAACTCATGGAAAACATTAAAAAAAAAATATTGCTAATGAGACTAACCCTGGAGAAATTCTGTATTTTTAATGAGGTAACATGGAGACTAATCTGACCTGGTAACAACTTGATGTGTGTAGACTCTGCTAGGGCTGCCAAAAGACTTGGCCAAACCAAAATCAGCCAACTTCAACACCCCACTGCCATCTAACAACAGATTATTGGGCTTCAGATCCTGCACAAAAAAAAGAAAGAAATTAAGAGGAAAAGGCCCAAAACATAAATTACAAATTAGACATGAGCATATTTATGTGTAAATGCTACACACAAGTTTTCTTACCCTGTGTAGGACCCAGTGCTGGTGCATATACTCTAATCCCTGCAGAGTCATGAGGATGTAGGCTTTGATGTTGGCTGGAGTTAAGACTAAACTAGTGTCTTTGATGATAACCTTAAAAACAACAAAACAAAGACCAAGAGTCATACGTACAGCCATACTTCTCATAATTAATAACATCCATGCATAAATTCATGGCTTTTCATAGCTCTAGGCCACACACACACACACAAAATTAAAATACACTTTTACTGAGCGGACGAGACAATCAAAAACATCTGGAAAATATCCATATAAAGAAATCATCCAAGATAGAGCAGTTCAGCCTTCATAACAAGAACCATCATCACCTTTGAATGCAGGAGTCTAACTAAAGCTAACCTCGCAGTCCAAAAATATATAGGCTTTTATAATATAGGCTTTTAGCACCGGTAATAAGATCAGCATCACATTTCACCCTCATGTGCATCCTGTTTTTCTGCTGCCTGTAATGGCATCACTTCACTGAGCAGCCAAAAGCAGAGTGATATTGATTATTTTTAAGTGCGTTTATCTTATTTTGCATCATTTGATTAGGCTCTAAAGCATTGCTGGTGAGCGCCTATTTGGAGCCTTTTTATGCTTAGATAATCCAAATAAAAGCCAGAGTAACACCCAGCTTAGCACTGGTGACACTTTGTTTGACCTCTTGCTCATGCTTTCTTGGATACTCGACTTTAATCTGACCTTACACTACGAGTGTGAACAAAGGGTAAAATTTCCACCTGCTGGCCCACAAGGGAACTGCAGCATAAAAAAGAAAACTTTTTTTTTAAAGACATGTTTAACAGATTAGAGACGACTGACAAATCTCCAGACAGAAGCAGTCATAATGCAAAACATGACATCTTCAGGTTTTGTTACAAACAAATAAATAATATCATACAATACTGTACTCTTTAAGCAAAACTGTACTGGAAGATGTTTCTAAAAATAAAATAAGTAAATCTAAGATTTGGCAATCTGTGACTTTAAGAGCTCTAAATGTTATATTATTAATATTTAAATACAGATAAGAAATGTATTTTTTTTTTTTTTTTTAAATCGAGATACTCGATGAATCATTAAAGCCGGAAATCAGAAAAAAATATTAAGGAAGTGGGAAGCTGCTACCTATTCTATCCATCATCTACCCCTTTAACCCCCACCCACACACACAAACTAATAGAAAAGTGAATATTTTTTTTAAAATGCACAAACGCTGTGTATGAAATTCCTCCACATTTGTATTTAGGTCTCTACTCACCTCCAGGTCTGTTTCCATGAAATCAAACACCAGGCTGATGTTTGATTTATGTCCAAAAGCATCCAACAGCTGCAACACACATAAAACAACAATATTTAGATTTAAAAAAAATACATAAACTGCACAATATAGAAAGATTAAGGTATCTTTCTATACAATCGATACAAATAACACAAGATTATGATGATGTGCGATGAACATTTAGCTACCCCGATAATGTTCGGATGATGGAGCTCCTGCAGCAGTTTTATCTCTCTGAGTGCAGTCCGATTAATTCCTATTTAAAAAAAATAAATACGTAAAAAAAAATTTGTATAAAATGGATGAAAATGAGCTGCAGCTGATAGGACCCAGCACTTACCATCTTTAGCCTCAGTCCTGTGGCCAACCTTAATCTGAAGGGAATAAAAAGATAAATGTTTACTGCGGCTCATCAACACACTGTGAATGGCAGCAGTAAAACACTAAAGCAGCTCGTTTCTTTTACCTTTTTAATAGCAACTATTGTGTCGGTCAGTTTGTCCCTGGCTTTGTACACTGTGGCAAACTGCAGAGAAAAAACAACATTCAAAAACCAAAAGTTAATTTCTTTTACTTATTTTGGTGAAATTCACTGGCACAAGAAGCAGCGCAGCATGAACCAGCGAGGCTTTGTTGACATTAGCAACCAGCTAATGCTTTGTTAGCTCGCCATCGTGCTTTCTACAGAATAAACAAAGCGGTCTAAGGACGTGCGAAGAAAAAAGCAAAGACACATATCTCTTAAATATTTCTCCCCCTACCTGACCCTCTCCGAGGAAATCCAGCTTCTCGTACCGCTTGGCTCTGCTTTTCACATCAAGCGCCATGATAAATAACTGTCAGTGTCGTGCTGAGGCACTTCCTGCTCTGTTAAAGGACCGCAAGGAGTCTTTCCGGGTTAGAGGAGGCTTTAAATTTAAATTGAACAACAGCGACACCTACCGATTTTATTTGTCTAACACCACCGTGAACCAAATTATAGAGCCAAAAAAACCCAAACCCAGCATGATTTATTTATTCTGCATTTGTTTAACTGGATTTTTAAAGGTTTGTTCAATTACAATATTAATATTAATAATACTAACAATACTAATACTGCTACTAATACTAAGATTAATAATAAGTGAAGGGGAGATTTAATCTCAGTTCCAGCCTCATTCGCCTCTTAACATTTTACTGTTATGATGCAACATGCAGTACTGTTATTTTCCTCACAGTTTGTCTTTTTTGCCCCCTTTATTTTTCTTTCACCAGTTAGCAGTTTGACATCTGTCTCCTGGGAGTCTCTTCTGTCAGTTAGGAAGGTTTTGTGATCCATGCACCACTGAGCACATCTCTACATCTCATCTCCATACGCAGTGAGATACCCTCACATCCCACAGGATTAGGCATGGCTCTTCTCCTTTGACCCTCCTCGTCTGCTGCCTCACGTGCACATACACACACACATGCACACACGCGCACACACTCGCCACTGACTTTCATTTTTATGTTAAGTTTGACAAGAGGGGTGTGAAGGATCAGCAGGCCTAATACACCCCTCATTCTCCTCTCAGATGTGTGCACATTCATCTGACAGCTCCCAGATGTGAGTGACAGAACCATATGTGCCCATGCAACCATGCAGAGAAGAGAAGAGAAGAGAAGAGAAGAGAAGAGAAGAGAAGAGGAGAGAAGAGGAGAGAAGAGAAGAGAAGGGAAGAGAAGGGAAGAGAAGACTTTACTATCTTACAATCAAACTTTAGGAACACACGTGGGGGGAGGGGCTTGGGACATTAATGACCACGGCTGACATAACTCAGATCCATTTACATCACTTGCTTTAAAACAAATATGACATATTGATGCCTACTAATTCTGCCATGATTTAAAGACATTCTTGTGCTCATTCCCCTCCGTGTCTCGGTGAGGCTGTGGATGAAGAGAGACATAAGTGATTCTGGTAGCGTTTGTATAGTTTGTCACTGTAAATCACATGACACTATGGGTAACATTATGCACAACAATAACTCACTCTGGTTATGTGTCACATTAGCAGATGGTGATGCTGTTGAGCGGGTGTGTGCATATTTGTGTGTGTGTGTGTGTGTGTGTGCGCGCGCGCGCCTGTGTGTGTATACCTCTGTTTGACGGGCAGGAGGAGAGTGAAACCACAAAGCTGTTTATCAAACTCATAGGAAGTGGGTGTTGTTAAGCGAGGACGTGTCGCGCCACCACATCCTGCTGCTGGAAAGCAGCTTCAGATGGGACAGTGTTCACACAATGTACAGTAAACAACAAATGCAGACCAAATGCCGTTTATGTATGTATATGCGTGTGGTATGTGACCACCTAATTCTTCCTCAGAAACAATTTTTACACTGATTGCACAGCTATGATAACCTGCTCATTTGGCTATACAAGAGTGTGAGGAGGATGCATTTTGGGTGACCTGTTCAGAGATGTAAAAAAATTAAATAAACATTTATTCGCCCTTATCAAAAATTTGCGTTTAACACACATGCTGTTACACACACTCACAGATTTCTTTTAAGTCACTGCCACCCACAAACCATGCATGTCTCTTCAAAATGCCAAATAGAAGATGTGTTGATGGAATGAAATGTTGCAGTGCAAAGGCAATTTTTCTGCAGAAGAGCAGTGTCACAATCTCAAGTTTGCCTCGACAATATGCCCCAAAATGTTGAATAATGCACACTGGATGTTCTTTTTTGGTCTTTTTTGTTGGTCATCATTTGCTCTGTTCCACTTTTTAGTGATTTAGGTGTAGTGTTTTGGGTCAATACTTCTGAAATGAAAGGTTAAAAAAGATCCCCGATGGTGTCACCGAGTGTGTAAGGGATGAATGATTCAGCGCTATCGCAGTCAATGCTGTATCACACACCTGCTGCTGTAGGTTTCTGTCCTCTTTTTACTCACAGAGTCTCTGGGGAAGTGGCTGCGTTCTGTCATCTAGGGAGTTTTCCTCTTTCTCTCTTTCTTTCTTTATGTTTCTGACTCTTTCTCACAGGCCCACACACGCACATGCACACACATACACCACACACACACACACATGCAGCTGTATCTGACCACATGCACAGTTATAACACAACAGGATGTTGTAGGGTGGATGTTTGAGGTGTGAAGGTTCACACAAGCCGTGACAAACAATATCTGTTTCTCAGAACAAATTATTCATTATTTATACGTCTAATAGATGCTGACATTTGTATTTTTACTTTTTTTTCACCTCTATTTTTTTATTGAAGCACATAGACCAGGTTTTGCACACCATTTTTTTAAACTACTGACTTACTGCTAAAGCATCAGCCACACATGGTCCACAAACATGCTTCACTTTGCCCCTTTCATTCTCTGCAGATGTCTGTAGTGACAAGACAATAAGAAAGCAGAAGGACAAACAGAAGGACAATCATTATTTTCCGTGCTGCTGTGTGTTTACAACCAACGCAGAGATTTGTCAAATTGGTGCTGTCAGTCCTGGGCTGCATTGTTAGATGCCAGAGCTGTCAGTCTGAATTAATATTAGGGCAGAAATGTTTTTGTTCACCACTGTCTTCCTCAGGCATCTGAAGCATCTGCGTACACCGGGGCTTGTGGACGACTTCAAGATGAGCCCACTTGATAGCTGAGCTCGTACGGAGCCAACATTATGATAATGTCCTTATAAGTAGCAGGGGGATGGGCGCAGTGTCATCTCTTCACATAGACAGAGCCAGCGGGGAGTCCACAGTCAGCTGCATTTAGGGCGTCTTTGTTGTTGTCGTAGCACCCATCTGTATTGTTGTTTTGTTCTGGTCTGTGTCTTTTCTCAGACATCATTATTGCTCTCATTAGAAAAATCTCTATCGCAGCCTCAAATGGGGAACAAAGTCTCGCAGTGTTTCTTTTCCTTTCCTTTGTTTGTCTGCGTGTTTGTGCGTGTGTGCGCATCTTCTCTTGAATATGTAAGTCTGGCTGTATTTGCAAACTACATGTGGCCACTTAAATCCTTCAAAGAGGCTGAACACTCTGTGCTGAGCTCCCTTGTTTTAATGCTGTACATACAGAAAATATTCCATTGTTTGCCTTACCTCTTATATAGGCTTAATTTGTCTTCTAGTTTGCAGCAGGGTGTTGTAAGAGAACTTTGGGATGAAAGAATATGTGAAATGTAGCACCAAGATTAATTCAAAACCCACAATGGCCACAAGCACAGTGAGGGAAGTTATAGTTGGAAGGCAAAGGAAGAAAAGGCCACTTTGTTTGTGTGTATCAGGATCTGGAGAGATGGCCCCAGTGGTGTGCTATCCAAAGAGCCATTTACTTCATTAACCCAGTCAGATCACTGAGGCCTCAGTAATCAACCTTGTCACATGTCCCATTAACTTCTCATTCCATCAGCACGGCCCTCGCACCTTCTGACACACACAGACATGCGCATGTGTGCACAGATGCACTTTGGTTATGCACATTTGTGTCTGCATCACACACAACTGTGTTTCTTTATTTTTTTCCCCCCCTCACTGATGCCCATATACACACTCCTTCTCCCACTCTCTCAGCTCACCCCATTACCTCCATCAGTCCCAGAGGTCTCGGAGCTCTGATGAGCCCGCCGCTGCCCTGCGAGATTAGTGGACTCCCTGAGAGAAGCCCCTCGCTGGTTGACCGTGAGTCTCGGCTGCTCACAATGTCAGCTCAAGGTTAGTGTGTTCACTCACGGCGCAGTCAAGCTGCGTAGCTCTGTTATGAATACAAGTGCGTTATTAGTATTTTACCTCTGCAGATGCCAGCGATTATAATATTTATAAAGATCCCCAAATCAATTACTGCCATTCACCTTTGCTTTCCCTCTCAGCTTTTGCATCTCTGCTTTGCTCTCTAGTGGCCCCCGCACTTGAAACATTTGTCAAAGCATTTATTAATTAACTTGTTTTTTTCTCCCCTCCTACTCCACGTCTTCATCTCAATCTTTCAATCTCCCCTCTCCCCATTGATCAAACCACAGAGGAGCCCAGCATTCGGCTAAAGTGGTTTGAATTCACTGTTATGTGCTGCACATCAAGCACAGGGAAGCATTTACTTTGCATCCCACTTGAGGGAATGAAGATCTTCCACACACAAAATGGCAGGGAGAGATGAAGGAATGAGGGCAGCTCTCGGTCTGTTATAGAGCGTCACATAAGTGGCTGGATCCGTAAGACAGATTGATCTTTTTATGTTGAACTTGATGAGCATGAATGATGCACCAGATTTCCTGTAGCAGTGAATAGAGATGAAAGGATTATCCAGATATTTAGATCATTCAGGCAGGAACGTTGCCCTGCACTGCTGTCTCTTTTCTCCCCATCATAATTCAATATTTACAGTTTAAGCTGGAAAACTGCTCCCTCTTGGCCGCCTGTATCTGGTATCCATGGAAACAGATTTGAGAAGAGAGTGCTGTCTTTATGTGTCCGGGCGCGTGCGCGCGCATATGTGTGTGTGTGTGTATGAGAGAGAGAGAGAGAGAGAGAGAGCGAGAGTGTAATGTTTACTGATACACTGCAATTGATTGGTTGTTGGGGAGCAGCTGTTGACCCCTCTCTCTCAGGGGTCTCTTTCTGTTCTTGCACACAACCCAGATCAATAGACACACACGGACGTGAACACAGACACACACAGATTTTGCTATTTTAAATTTATTCTAGAGTCAGTTTCTGTTTCTCTCCTCCAAAACCCATAAAAATCACCCCTTCCCAGATTAATTCAAATTTAAAGGTAGCCTTGACTCGTAGCCATAAACCTGAGCCTTATTTTAATGAATATGTTGAGCAGATCATGCCAAATCTGTTTAGAAATCCTGGGACTGTTGCTTTCACTGTCATAACATTTG